CAAGAAATTTCCTTTTCACATAGAAATCCAGAGTGGATGTTCACATCAGTGGGGAGTCTCTACTTCACATGGACACTTGGGAGTCAGGATTAATGGCTGCCTGTCATCTTCAATCCATGGCTTGCAAGGCTGGTATGTATGTATACATTTTCATCACAGTCATCCAGAAGGGGTGAAAAGCATGAGGAAACACATGTGAGGGGATTTTATAGGTAGTCCTAGAATCGGCAGAAGTCACTTATGCTCACATTCTACTGGAGAGAACTCAGTTTTGTGGCCTCAACTAACTGCAAGAGAGGCTGGGAAAGCTAGTTAGCTTGTGCCTGGGAAGGCGAGAATGGATATTGTAGTTAGAAACCTCTAATACAACTTATATGCTCCACTTTTATTGCTAGAGCTGTTTCATAGCTTTAATTAGGTTCTGAAAGGGGTCTACATACAAAAATATTTCAGAGCCTTCTGTTAAGGGACCGATAGTAGTGCTGCTTCTACCTTGCTTTAGAAGGTATAACAGGCTATCAAGTCAAAACAACAGAAATGACATAAAATACACATGACTTAGGAAAACCTTCTGCCCCATTTTTGCCTGGAGTGGCACAATGCTGTTGATATTCCTTGGAATGGTCATTGCAGGTCTTGTGGCAGACATCATGTAACTGCTAGAACTCACAAGAATCCAGCATATTAGAATCAGCTATATTTTTTTGAAAGGAGCAGACTTTTATGGTTTGTGCTTTTTATACCTTGTATAAGAAATTTTTCTCTGCCCTGAAACGATGAACGTATTTGAAAATCTGGAAGTTTTACTTTGCACATTTAGGTCTTTACATCGTTAAGAACTGATTTTTGTTTACAGTGTGAGGTAGGGATCCCATGTTGTTTTTTAAAATATAATATATACTATATTAATATAATAAATATAATATATGTATAGAGAGAGCACTAATTGTTTCAGTCTTATTTACTAAGAGAACATTTTTGATGCCCTAATTTACATTGACTCATCTGTCATTTATATATGGTTCTATTTCTGAACCTGCCATTCTCTTTCATTATGTTATTTACTAATTATGGCACCAATACCACATTATTTCAATTGGTAAAGCTTTAGGATATTTTGGTATCCGGAGGGGAAATTTTCCCTTCTTATGCTTCAACAGACTTGTCTTTGTTATTGCTGGTCTCTTCCATTTCCACATGAATTTTAGAATTACTTTGTCAAGGTTTATGAAAACCCCTAATACAATTTGGAGTAGACTGCATTGTGTTTATGGAGACTTCTCATCCATGGACATGTTGTATCTATCTATTTAGGACTTTTTATGTATTTCGAGAAAGTTTTATAGTTTTCTTCTTATAGATACTATACCTTACTATTAGTTTTTATCTAAGTTATAGTAAAGATTTGTTTTACTAGTGAGGCCTTTAAAAACTTGATATCTCTGATAGGCTGTGGCTTCCTTACATATCTATCTTTTATTCAACAATGTCGTTAAACTCTCTTATTTGCTCTAATACTTTCATAGATTTGCGTGAATTTGGTAGCAGACAACCGAATCACCTATAAATCATATTTTTTCTTGTTTTCTAACTGTATTCTTCTAATTTCCTTGTGTGTGTGTGTGTGTGTATGAAAGAGAGAGAGAGAGAGAGAAGAGAGAGAGAGAGAGAGAGAGAGAGAGAGATCTTGGCAAAGGGCTTCAGTACAATGTTGAGTAGAAATGAAAAAGCTATCTTTGTTTTGTTCCTAACTCTTAAAGAAAAATGTTTAATGAATTAACATTAGAATATGCTTCCAGAATTAAGT